TCATATGATCAGAAGCACCAGTGTCAATTATCCAAGTATTAGAGCCAGTACCTGGAATAGAGTCAGAAACACGCAAATTTGTAGAAACAGCAGCAGCACCAACAATGGAATTATCACCCATGATTGTAGCAGAAACTCAACAAAGCACGCAAAAGATGCACGAAGACAACAGAGGCACAAACACAGTAGAGGTAGATGCACGAACACAGTAGAGGCACGCAGTAAAGGCACGAACACGACAGAGCACAAGGCACAAACACAGTAGAGGCAGAGGCACGAACACAGTAGAGGCACAAACAAGACAGAGCACACAGCAGAACACGGCAAAGGCACAGACACAAGAACCCTAAAAGAAATTAGGGCACACAGTAGAACACAGGTGGGCACAACACACACAGGTCACCAGAAAGTCGGCTCTGATACCAAGTCAAACAATATGGGTAGAATATTTTCAGATATATTTCATTCTCCGAAAGGAGGTATTTATAATACAGGTTACAAACCCTAGTAGGGTTTAATTAGCAAATAAGTGGAATCCTAATTACATAATATCTATACAAAAGGAAAAATAAATAAAACTCAAATAGGATATATTCTACTCGCCAACACTTTGTATGTTCTAATTATTTCCTCATGAAAAAGTGTACCCGGAACATACAAAAATTTCTTTTGTTTTGGAGTTTGGTTTAGGATTTTATTTGTTTTGGTTGTGGCCCGGCTTCTAGTGGGATGCTCTTTTCGACATGGCTAAAAAAGTTTCATGTCCTGTGAAAAATAATAATAAATAAATAAATAAATAAACACAAACTCTTTTAAATGGGGGCTTTCTCTATTGCGAACTGCAAGTGTGCGGAGTGGATGCGGACTTCTATTTGTCACCGTTAGATTCCTTGTACGCTGTAGATTTAAAACATCATTGAGAACTTCTATTTCTATCAGACCTTTTCAGTTTTTTGGTAAGAGCCAAAATTTCCCGCGCTTATTCCTCCAATCTACTAACCTCTGTTTCTTTCTTCCACCACAACACCTTCTCTTCTTTGTGCCTTCATCTGATGCTTTCATCAATTGCTATTTGTGACTCTGTATATGCAATACGTCATTTCCCTTCTTCTCCACATTGATTTTCTATTTCTTTTTATAGGGATATCCTCGCTGATTTGGGTTTGGGTTCTACTTGGTCTTCGTATGAACTTGGCTCACTTTTGTTTCATTTTGAGTTTGGTGAGGTGTTGTACTGCTGGGCGGGATTTTTTTATACAACCTTGGCTGATCTGTTGTTTAATTATACTCTGTATTTACCTGATGTTTACAATTACTAACTATATTTCATTTGCAGTTGGGGATATTGAAGCTAACTATGATCTCCTGATATGATTCGAAGAGTCTTGCCTTCTTTGGATGATTTGCAAAGTTTGTATACAGATATCTTCAGAAGTTTAGAAAAGATATAAACAGATAAATGATTGAAATAGATGGTCCCAAGACTCCATTACAAGACAAAGGAATTGAAGCTACAACAATAATTGACGTTGTGTGTACAAGTACAAAATTTCAGCTTCATACAAAATTATAGCTTGAACAATAATGAACTAATCCAGCCACAACTACATTCAAAGTTCAATTTCCACAAGCATCGACTATTACTTCACAGAACCATTATTGATATTGGGTGAAATATTTTCTGCATCCTTGCACAAAGAGGACCTGCATAAGAAATAAGAAATTATATATTTAAGATAAAATAATCAAATAAATCGAAATAAAAAATTCAACTCAGTTTCTTACTGATTAATGTGAGTTGTACTAGTTCTTCTGTCATGTCCTGTTTGTCCACACCCATGGCAATGACGTTTACTCTTATTCATTGCTTTCTCTTTTCCTCCCTTCAATCTTTTACCGCAGCCCTTCGCCCTTACTTGAAGAGGGTCATTCAAATGTGGTGAAAGATAACTACTAGTTGCATTTTCATTATTGCTTCCACATATATTTTCATTAGTATCTTCCATAAATTCATATGTCCCGAGTCATTCTTGTGGGCTTCCCATCTCTAAAGTTTCATCTATTAAAGCAAAAAATAACAAAAATATTGGTCAATGGGACATTGGTAAACAATAGCAAAGAATACTGTAGCAATGCTTAAACCAAAAGCCAAACTCGTAAGTGCATATCAAAAACAAAGACCAATTAGTAGCCAAATCCATATAACCCATACATCAGTGCTGTCTGTTTTTCCGATTCCAACCTTCAAGATTTCCAACAAAACCTAAATATTTTTAGTAAACAATCCCATACCATAAGAAAATCAGAAAACTTTGTATAAGCAAAATGGAAAATATCCATATATCATAAAGCAAAAAAAAAATAGAAGAAGAAATAAAAATATTCTAACCTGGAGGAGCAGTTGTGATATTGCTAGGGATGAGAGCACACTGAAGAGAAGGTGTTGAAAAGAAGAAATAAAAATATTATAACCCGGAGGAGCAGCTGTGATATTGCCAGGGATGATAGCACAGGGAAGAGAAGGTGTTGTGGTGGAAGAAAGAAACAGAGGTTAGTATATTGGAGGATTAAGCGGGAAATTTTGGCTCTTACCAAAAGACTGAAAAGGTTTGATAGAAATAGAAGTTCTCAATGATGTTTTAAATCTACAACGTACAAGGAATCTAACGGTGACAAATAGAAGTCCGCATCCACTCCGCACACTTGCAGTTCGCAATAGAGAAAGCCCCCTTTTAAATGTCTTTAAAACTCATCAACGTTTCAGATTTTATGTGCGCAATCCTACAGCAGGGACCCACAAATGCAATATCTCTAACCTTATCCTTCTTGTAGCCCACTCTGTTCTCTTCTCTTCTTCATGGCCCTTCAAATCCGTCTATTTTTTAAGGAAATAATAATACCAGAAATCCCCATGCCAAGTTCTTGCTCTTTCTGAACACCAAGGCTTCCATTTCCAAGAGCACTAGCAGAACAGAAGCCCATGGCTGCAATTGCAGGGCTATCTTCATGGTCATCTAAGCCCTCTCCAATTAGTCCCTCGCAACACCAAGCATCATCTAGTAAGGTACCATTAAATAGAACGACTGCAGATTATACTTTCTTTTTTTCTTTTTTTTTTTCTGTTGTCAACCATCTGTAGTTCTTGGTTTGTTTTTCTAATGAGCTGAAATGGTGGTATGAACTTGAATTTTGATGCTTCCCTTAGTGAAAGAAGAATAAAAAAAAGAACAAGAGTATTGTGTTTGTGTTTCAATAGATGGAAATTGCAGCTTGTTTCAATGGCATTTGAATTATGCAATTGCTCACCTCTTGCTTGCATTTTTTTTTTAAATCCTGCAGATTAGTATTAAGCCTTGGACATTCTCCATCACCAACAGTTTGAAAGAAATAACAAAAACCCACTACCCAATCTCCACAACAAACCAAAACCAGAAGTTTTTTTCTCCCTCCACACACTTAAATGCAACCTTGAGGAGCCCAAGAGGCTTTGGCCCTTCCCCAAAGAAAAAGAAAATTACCCAGAAGAACACAAACCAAAACAATGACAGCAATGAAGATGAAGATGACGATGAGGACGAGGAAGAGGACGAGCGGGAGGAAGGCGTAATACCGGAGATCGTGACGAACAGGATGATTGGGAGGATGGGGTTCACAGTTGGGATGCCATTGTTTCTGGGGCTCTTGTTCTTCCCGTTCTTCTACTACTTGAAAGTTGGCCTGAAAATAGATGTGCCCACTTGGGTGCCCTTCATAGTGTCGTTTGTGTTCTTTGGGACGGCCCTTTTAGGGGTCAGCTATGGGATTGTGTCCTCCAGTTGGGATCCTTTGAGGGAAGGCTCTCTCTTGGGTTGGAATGAGGCTCAGAAGAATTGGCCTGTGTTTTGGCAGTCCCTTCGCGGTGGATCTAAAAAGGACTAATTAACAACTTACACTCTTTCAACAATTTGTCCTCCTATACTAGTAAATTTTGGACCTTTTTTTTTATTTAGGCTTACTTTTTTTTTTTCCTGTCCTTTTTTTTTTAGTTTTTTTTTTCATCAATGTTACTAGCCAAAGCAAATGTAGTAGAGTAGCACCTCTAGCTTTAGCAAGTTAAACTGAAAACTAATTAATGATCAGATTATGTTATGTATGCTTTCCATACATATATGTTTCCATAACTCATTCCTCCAAAATGAAAGAAGCTAAAAGCAGAAGATAAGAACAGTTAAAAACACAAGTGCACTTCCATCAACAAAGACAGGACCCCTTCACAACTTTGAAAATGGAATCCACGTAAAAACCTAGATACCACTATTTTGGAAATTCAATTTGACAAGTCCTCGAAGCCCTAGGGACATTGAAATCTCCTGGCGTAACTCCATCATGTGTTCTACAGGGAAATCATGAGTATAATTTATCAAGTTATTCAAGACTTCGCCATGCTTCAACAAGTACTTTGCCTCTTCCATCTCATCCGGCCGTCCCTTGAATCCCCGTATGCAAATGGTCTTGAGGCGTGATGACAAGCAAAAAGGTACCCACATTGGCAGACACCATGGAGTACGAAGTCTTTCCCGTAGTAAGCAACAACAGTTCACAACTTGTAAAGATTTTTAAAATAAACAAGTTAAATTAAACCTCCGAAATTTGCATATTGGTACCAACACCATTTAGCTTTAAGAAGGTATAAATCACAACCTATACTCACAATTTGAAAGACGAGATGTTTTAGGTGGGGGGATTTCTTGAGCAACTTTGTCAGTAATCTCCAAGAGCAGCGTCTATGAAGAAGTAGCTCCAACTGTATCAAATTAGCAAATGTAGGCAGATGATATTGACGCATTAAGTTTGGATCCTTAGCATAGGATAAACTACAGATCAATCAATGACTAGAGCAACATCAAATTTTCTCAGCATAATAGATCGAGCATTCCCATTGAAAAATTCCAGCATGTAAAAATGCTATCAGCCACTAAGGAGACAAGTTAGAGCACACTTACCCCCAAAAATTTAGCTGAAAGTGAAAGATCTTTAACTTTGAGAAGTTTGGCAAACAGGTTATGCACACAGACAGCAGAATCAAGGACATTGTCATCGTCAAGGTCCTCAAACCCATGTAGCGATCCGAAATTAATCTTGGGTTTGCTCAGGGATTTTTAATTCTTCAAATAATAGGTTGCCGAAACTTCATCCACGATTTCAAAATTTTCAAGATTTGGAGCATTGATATTAACAAAAATGTCGTACTTAATCTCTACCAAATGGTTCCAAATAAATCAGTAGGCTCTTTAGTTTCAGTGCGGAGATATTAAATTCTAAATACGAAAATTCTTGAAGTGATCCAACTATAATCAAATCTTCAAGTACAGGGCAACAAGAAATGAGTTTCTCCATTGAGTCAGTATCAGTATGACAGATTGTAAGATGGAGAACCTTGAGACTTGGGAAACAATCTAAGGTGGGAGTGATGGTAATAACTGATAGCAGCCTCAGCTTCAAAACCACCAATGTTTTGCACATGTAAAGGCTTCTTGGAAACTCATAGAGCTAGTCTTCCCAATCCATCCTGGACTCCTCACAAAGATAACACAGAACAGAAAATTCCAGTTCAACAACATTACGCTCAAGGGCAGCGCAAATCCAAGCATCAAACCGAGAATCATCCTCAAATTCAGAACAATGAAGTTGGAATGTATGGATGTCTGACGAGCCACGCGATAACAGAACATGATCCACAAATTCCCCAAAGCGATCTCGGTAAAAACTATTTCGATAATCGAAATCCCATAGAGTTATAGTAGGAACTTTAGTCCACACATTTTTCCACCCGTGTGATAAAAAGCTGGTCTTTACAGCCACGTCTGTTTCAAGGAAGGAAAGAATGTGGTAAAGAATTTCATCTGGTAATCCACTGATCCTATCCTCAGTGCATGCTTTAAATCGACCCTTTGAATGCGAACCCATATACGAATTTCCAACCCTTTCTGTTAAAACCCCCAAAGAAAAAACATTTAACTTCTAAGAGAGTTTCCTAGGGAGAAAAAATAAACCTAAATTTCCTTCAACAGCACAAACTATAAGTTTTGGCCCTATGTTGTCTTCCTTTTTAGTTTTCTGGGTTTTCTTGCATCCAAACAGAAGACATAAGGAATTAACAAAGAAAATATTTCGGAAAGAGTAAAAATACCTGATATAGTTCTGGATTGGTGGAGCCAACTCTAGCTTCAGCGTACTGGTTTACTGTGTTTGGTTGCTGAGAAAACGGCAGGAAAAGAAGGGAAACTGAGTAACAGGTTTCTCTTCTACGCCTGCATTTTCTCCTCGAAATGGTGTCTAGTGGGAGTGGGAGCGGGAGCGGCGCGAGCGTGAAAGCTACCGAAAATGTCATTAAACGACGACGTCTTAAGAATTAAAAAATAATAGTTTAAGACGACGTCGTTAGTGGCCTACCTAATAATACTTTTCTTGGTGTCAAACTATGGGCTTTAGTAATCCAATAATGTAGGTTCAAAATATGGGCTTGAATACTTATGAACTCTAAGAACACAAGATGAGTGTCTCTTTCTAATTGAACCTATCAAGCATTAACATGATTTTACACTCAATAATGAGCGTGTTAAGTCTAAAACAAGGCAACAAATTCCTTCTATAAAATCTACGGTGGTATATATCAAGCAATGAGGGAATTTTCATGTTTGAAACTTACGGAGCGAAAATATCTGAATTATGAATCTCAATGGATACTTGCACGATCCACAGACATTCCCACTAAGAGACTAGTTGTTCATGTTGTTAGAATTATAGTATATAATACAAAATCAATTTGAACTATTAATGCAAGACTTTCAATTCTTATAAGGGAGATATACTCTCAGCATGTGCCCGTTTTAGAGCGAAAATTGACTACAAAGTATAGGGAGAACTCAAGTTAGGAGTCATGGCTAAATCCTAACACTTTGAAGTTTTGAAGCTCCTCGTCATCCTAATCTTAGCTTTTGATGATCCAAGCATCTTGGAGAGGGATTCATCCACATAATCATACATAGTATGAGACAATCCATTTGCCATGTCTCTTCTTTTAACATGGGGCAAGGCAAGAAATGTTGTTTTTAAAAATTGAAAAAAATATATATAAAATCAGAAATTCAAAAGACATGTACAATAAATCAATGGCAATCAAACATTGAAACATTGGAAATAGGAAAAGACTTGGGATTGCGATAGAGAGATCTACTTTGGGGAGGATCGCTGAATGGCTTTATAATCACTTTTCCAAGTACAACTGTTATTAACTTGAAAACAGAACATTCCTAACGTTAAAAGTGGTCTAAATCCACCACCACCACCACCACCATGCCTCTCATGTTTCATTTACTTTTCTACTTATTTTGTCTTTCCTTTTCTTTTCTGTTTTTTCATTTTTTGAGACACAAAGAGAGAGAGGCAGAGTATTTTGAAAAATTCCTTAAACAAAGAAGACTTAAAGAAAAATGTTCGACTCTTTTCTTTTATGATTTTGGTAATTAAATTGCACGCATTCATAAAACAATACAAGAAGAAAACATCACCGACAAATGGAATATTATTATTTGTGATCTGATCACATGAAAGACTCTCAATCATATCGTGCATCACAACTGAACTCAAAATGGAATTTTGTGTGCAATTCTCGCTCTCTCTTTTACACAATTTGTTCGTATAGAGAGAGATATCGTAGACAAAGAGATGTGA